CAGCACATGGTCACACAGGTGCAGGGCCCTGCAGTGGCTGGTTGTCATTACTAGGTTCTGGCTGGACACTCCCCCCACCCAAGGCCTGTGCTCTCGGTTAGAGAAGTGCTAAGAAGCTTGGCTACACTGAGGTAGACAGTGAGTGAAGCAGACTAGTCCTCTCCCCAGGGCTCCTTTCCTGCCTCCTCGCCTCCTCTCAGCAGCCAGGATCCTGCACATCCATCACTCCTGCTACTGCCCCATCCAGGCACCAGGGCTGTGTGATGCCCTGTCGGATACAAGCTCAGCATTGTCCCATGAAGGGCCTGAGCCCGGAAGTTTCCGGCTCAGTGTGAGCAGGCAGGGCCCACTGCAGCCTCCCCAGTGGTCAGGCATGGGGTCTGCAGTGGGAGAGTCACGGGGACGTCCTGGTGGGTCCAGAGCCTCCCACTTCTCAGACTCCACCCTGCAGTTGGGGCGAGAGGGACAGTGCATGCAGGGGCGGGCTGGCTTCTCCGACTCAGCCACCTACAAGGACCCTAGCAGCTGTTTTGATGTAACCATGATATGGGGGTCACCAAACATCAGCTGTCCCCAACCTGCCCATTACTGCTGCCCCCTGAGAGAAGACTGGGAGGCTTATGCTGAATCATCCAGGGGATGGCCACATGGAGTCCTTGTGGGAACGGCCCAGGCACTCTGACAGTTGGGAATCAGATGTGTTCTCTCCACTCCTGGTTGCTGTTAATGGTGGTCATTTGGTCAGTGCCATAAACGTGACCAAGAGGGTGGTGTTAGGTACAGGAAAAGTGGTTCAGGCAAAAACATGTCTCTCTCCTAGAGAGCCAATTCTTGGAGTCTCATCACATGCAGTTTCCAAAAACAAAGCTATTTTTATGGCCAAATAATTTTTGGGAAATAAGACAGATCATCTGCTGCCTGGGTGACTTGCTCAGGATCACTGGGGGTGGCTCTCAGCACAAGTGTTCAGGATCCCCCCTACCTGCCCAGTCAGAACATGGGGGCTGGGTTGGGGGGGCACAGAGCTTAGGAACCAAGGCCACTGACTAATCCTCTGATTACTCTGTGTGAAACCAGTCCTGTTTGTCCTCCCTGGATCCTGGTGAAGGCTGGGGGACGGGGCAGTGGACAGGGTTTGGTGAGGAATTTACCCACTAGCAGCCAAGGACTGCTCAGGAAGGTCAGGTTGTGCTGACCTTGGGTGGTTATTTCTGCATGGTTTCCAACCTGGCACTTGTGTTACCTGAGCCAGGGTTTGCACACCAGGGCTTGGTGTGGTCCGCACTTGGGTTTTATTGGGTCTGGTGTGTCTTTTAATTTGAATTACTTGCTGGATTTGACATGGGGTACTTTTCATAAATATCCAGAATTTAGACTTTTCTTGGCAAAAAGCCAGGGTAACCGGCCAGAAGCCAGGCCCATGTCCACTCAGCAGGTGGGTTGGCATGGCCCTCTTTACCTGTGTTCTTGGGGGCAGTTGGGTTCCCAGTGCTGATCTGGAACAGTGTCCACAGCTTTCTCTCTTCAGAGCTAGAATTTCCACGTTCAGTTTTGATTGTAATTGTTCCAGTTTGTGCACTTTGGCTGCTTATAGCCGATTTTTATAAGTGAATTTCAGGCGTGGTCATTATACAGCCTCTGGTCTCAGTAAGCACCTGTCAGTCAGTGAATCGGCTCTGGGGCGAGCTCCACGCTGGAGCTTCGGTGACTCACAGGAGTTGACCTCTCTATGCAGGTTTTCTGCTCCTGTGAAGTGCCTTGATCTATTCCATGAGGCATTCTGCATTAGAGCCCAGATGGGCAGCCAGCCTGATGTCTCGTGTCACCCGAGTCTGTCTCTGAGTGTCCCAGCCTGGCCTTCACAGTGTGGCCTCCTCCTCCAATGGGGAGACTGGCCAATCGGGGCAGCCTGAACGCACCAGAGGTAAGGGGCACAGTGTCCCCGGGGTCTTCTTAAAACCAGGCAGCATTTCCCAGAGGCAGGTGGGGACCTCTTAGCTCAGTGCCTGAATACGCTGTGTCTGCCCTGGGCAGACTGGACAGGATCACTGTAGGCTGATGGCTGCGGCTGCCTACTCTGCTCTGTCAGCTCCTGGGGCGGGCCTGGGCTCGCTGCTCAGGACGTCTTATCTCACAAAACCATTCCCAGGCTGCCTCCAGCCTGAGCCCCTGGCTGAGGTGGATTTGGTTTCTGATTGCAGGGCTGAGTTGGCCAGTCCCTTGCTGGCGGCTGGGTGGGGACTGCCCTCAGCTCTGAGAAGGGCTCAGGAAGCCCCTCCCCAGCTGGCGGAGGCAGGGCCCTTCCTGCTCAGCCCCGACCTTGGCCAGCATCTCTTGGTTGGAAGCAAGTCTTAGGCCCTACCATGTTCCAGTCACGGGGTGGGTCGTTTGGAGTCACCTGTGTCGTGTAGACCACAACAGCACAGTTGGGAGTTGGGGTCAGGGCTTCTCACCAGACCACATCACAGAGGCAGCATCTAACAGAACCTTGGTTATTTTCCTCTAAGAGGAAGGAGGGCTGATTGATTCTTGTGTAACTAAGAATTGCACAGCCTGGTGACTTAGGTCCCCCACACCTCATCATCTCATAGCCACATGATGAGCCACCTGGGCTGGACTCCATGGGTGGCTCTTGGCTGGTCTGGCCTGGGCCACTCGCCCAGGGACAGTCCTGAGCAGATGCCTGGGGCTGGATGGTCTAGGATGGCACCCCAATGCCTTCCTTGGTCTTTGGTGTTGGCCGTGGCCAGTATCTGTCCGTGGGGTGCTCACCCTCATGGTGCTCCCCAGGGAACCCCGAGGGTTCGGGTGGAGGCTGGATGTTTTCCCAAAGCCTTTCTTGGAGCTGGATGCATTGCTCCTGGCACTGTGGGTGGTACTGTGGGTGGCACTGTGGGTGGCACTGCGGGTGGCACTGCGGGTGGGCAGAGGTCCCCCGCCCACCTGTCTTCATGGGGAGGAGAAGCAGACCCTCAGTGGACACAAGGGACAGTCTGAGTCCAGTCTCTCACTGTCCACCGGTTGGGTCTGGAGGTGCCTCCTGCTGTCAGGGTGACACCTTTGGAATGGTTAACCCATCTTGGAGTAGGCAGGGCCACCCACGCTCAGCTGGCCTCCCCTGTCCCCAACCTCTCCCCTGCCTTCCCTCCTCCTCCAGGGCTTTATGAGGCCAATCCAGGATCTCTCCTGCTCTGGTAAAGTCGTCTTTCCAGGCTTGCTTGCTAAAAAAAAAAAAAAAAAAATTATTGCAACTTTGCCCTGGAAACTGTTGTTCGGATGCTGTTGTAAAGTGGCCTCACATTCTATAGCCATGATAAGCAGGGGGTGAGTTTCAGCCCAAGATAAATCAAAGCTACGAGCTGCATCCTAAGTGGTGTTCCAGCCATGGCAAAAGCCCCGTCCACTGCCTCAGACCACTGGGCAGGAAGGACTCCGTTGTGTTTTATTGTGAGGAGAATACCAATTTACCATAAAGCATCGACATCATACACAAGAATATGATTCTGCTCTCGTCTATACTGCTGTTTATTTGCTAGCTATCAGAGGCCTTCAACGTTTAAGTAACAATAATTTTGAGACTACGTGGACACTTATTTTAGAAGCAAGGCATTGAAGGTTCATCTCAGTCACTGTGGCCTCAGAGGGGTGAGGAGAGTGACTCGTTTAGTCTTCTTAGAGCCCTGCCCGGAGGCTCTGCCGTCCCCTCATCTGTAGGTGGGTACTGAGATGTGGAGGTGGCATATGGCATGTGGCATGTGGTGTCTCCTGGCTTGAGAGCTGTGCTGGTGATTTACATGCAAGTGTAATAAATAACAAGCCTTCCCCTCCTCTGCGGGGATCCTCTTTAACACCAGAGTAACCCTGACTGCAAGTCCTGAGGGTTTTGATAGGAAGGTTGGGCCACAGGAGCCCTCCCATCCCCACACAGGCCTGTGAGCTGCATGAGTGACAAGCCTGAGCATACGTGTGGCTTAAACCAAAGCAGACCTGGCCCCGCAGGATCCCCTGGGTTCTGCCTCTCCCTGCCTTCCTCATGCAGGCGGTGTGGCCCATCCTGTGTCCTGTGTCTCTTCACAGATGAGCCACAGTGTGGGGCTCAGAGAGGTGAACCAGCATGCCCAAGCCACACAGCAGGGAGAAGCTGTGCAGAATTTGAACCCAGATCTGGCCTTGAACCTTAGAGCTCCCTTGCACCAGGCGCCACTGACCCTTGGTGGGAAGACACTGTCTGAACCCAGGGAAGCCCCCCGGGCCTGGGACACAAGCAGGGCAGCAGCCTGGAGGTTCTGTGTCCAGTATGTGCAGCTCGGAGTCTGGGAAGGCCACATTTGTATGGCAGGCTGAGCTCAGGTGGGCATCACGGCTCCTGAGACCTCAGGGAGAGCAGCAGGTTTCTGTGGTTTGGGAAGAAAGGGATGAAGGATAGCCCATGCTCCAGCATTTCCCGGGACTCTCACCTTGGCACGGATGTGTGCATGCGTGTGTGTGTGCAGGTGGGTGCATAGGTGTATGTAGACGTGTGTCCCTGCACATGTTGCACACATGTGTGTAATATGTATGCAAGTGCATGTGTGCAGGCATTTTATACAGATAGGTGTCTACACATTTCTTCCTTTTTTGGGGGGGACTAGGGATTGAACCCAGAGGTGCTGGTGCTTAACCACTGAGCCACATGCCCAGCTCTTTTATTGTTTTATTTTCAGACGGGGTCTCACTGAGTTGTTCAGGGCCTCACTAAGTTGCTGAGGCTGGCTTTGAACTTGCAATCCTCCTGCCTCAGCCTCCCAGTCACTGGGATTACAGATGTGTGCCTCTGTGCCCAGCACACATTTTTTCCCTTAATCCAAATGCTTGGCGTTAACTCCTGTCCTTCCTGAAGGTCATTTTCTGCAGGGCGGGGTGGCAGGCGGGAGGGAGAACTGGAGCGAAAGCAGCGTGGGCACCTTCATGAAACCCCTTCACCATGGCTCCCTCCCTTCTTCCCCTTTCCTTTTCTGCAGGAATTTGTGCAGCTGGCGAAGAGACTCATCCGTGATCCTGCGCTGGAGAGAGAGATCGTGGCCCAGGGGCGGGCGCACGTGCAGAGGCACCACTCCTGGCAGGCGGAGAGGGAGACCTACCAGCACCTGGTGGGGAAACTGCAGGGGCCCCTGGAGGGCTGAGGGCCTGTGCCCGCCGTGCCCGCCATGCCCACCATACCCACCATACCTGCCACACACCTTTGTCCACACCTCAATCCGTGCCTCTGGCAGGCACCCAGTAGGCCAGGCCAGGGCCCATTGGCCCTCTCATGGACTTCCAGGGTCCCCAGTGACCCCACACCCAGGTGCGTCCACCTGGGTCAGCCACTGGAGGTGCATAGTGACTACCTCAGTGGCCAGGCGGGGGCTTCAGAAACTTGTCAAGAGAATTTGATCAGCAGCTTTGGGACTTTCTCGTGGATGGCAGAGGCTTCCTCTGAAGTGCTCACAGTACAGACCCCAGCCCCTCCTCTGAGTGACCTGTACTCATCCCGGCCCTCACAGGCCCATGGGGCCGGGCCGCAGCCACCCGCGGGTGAGCCCTGGAGAGCGCAGCCAGAGCTCACAGCCTGAACTTTCCACCCTTCAGAAATGGTGCAGGGGAAGGCAGACTGTGTTGCTAGAAGAGGCCCGGCTGCCCTCCAGGCCCTGCCCACCTCTGCTGCTGCCCACACATAGCCTGGGAAATATTTGGGTGGCCCTGAATTGGAGGCCTCTGTCCCTGGGTCCAGCTGGGGCCCTTCTTTGCCTCCCAGCATCAGGGAGCTGAGGCTGAGTGTCAGATGGGGTCAGGAACCTCCAGCCCACGGCAGGACCAGGACTGTAGGACAGCACAAGTGCACAGCAGGACCAGTCCAGTGGTCATCGTAATGGTGGCCTCCCTGGGTTGGCATAGCCTCTCTTGAAATAGTCTTCACTGACCTTCAGCTGCTGGGAAGACCAGCCTGGGAAGGCGTCCGCTGAGCATTGACATCATGGCCACCAAGTGGACATCCCTTACCATCAGCTGGGGGTGAACTGACCTGTTGCCCCTCAAGAGTCAGAAGCTGGCAGCGTGAGGAGAAGAGGACAGAGGATAGTGGCCGGGGTGCCCTCCTGGAAAGCGCTGGTGAGGAGACTGCCTGGGCTCTGGACAGAGGCAGAGAGGGGAGGGACCAACACTGCACTTCCCCAAGTTCCAGGGCACATCCCGGACGTCTTGCTGCTCACCACCGTGTTCTTGAGGACAGAAGAGCCAGCATCTTGTTTTCAGAAGGAGCAGCCTCCAGTCAGTGCCATTCCAATGTCCTGGGGTGGGCACCAGCCCACTCTGATTCCTCACAGTGCCATTTGGCCTTTCACCCTGCACCTGGGTCATGGAAGAGCCGCTCTCCAGGGAGGCGGTGGGCGGAGAGAACAGGGCTCTTGCTCCTCGGGCTCTGCATCAGCAGCTGGCCAAGCATCACCTGTTTCCCCTGGGCCCACATGGGTGCCAGGACACGCTTCCCCGCCTGGGCACAGGGAGAGGGAGGGAGACCAGGCCTGAGCCCTGAGTCTGGAGGGAGCAGTGCCACCCTAGGGGAAGGCACGGTTGGGGAAGGTCACTCAGCCACCACCCACACTGCTGCTATTTACCCAGTGCTGTTGGTCTCAAAGCGCAACTGTCCCCTCCCTGAGTGACCTGGAGGGGGCCTGGCCTCCACCAGCCATCACCACGGAGCTATGTCTTGCCCAGTGCATGGTGAGGAGGGGCAGGTTTTAAGTTAATAAAGTGTGTCACCATCTGCAGTACAAAAACAGCCACCGTTTATTCTTCCTGTGAGCACCTTTGGCAGGAACAGTTCCCCCCACCCCACCAATCCTCACCCCAACAGGAAGGACTGACACCCCGACATCTATAGAGGAGCTTGAAATGCAGCCAGGTGTTTGCACCACCGCGTGTCCATCAGCCTTCCTCCACTGTAATCAGTGCCGAGAGGAAAACTTTTTATAAAAAGAAAAATGTTTATTTCAGTCACAGTTTTGGAGGTCCTGGTCCAAGGTATGTGGAAGACCACTCTCCCTTGTACAGTTTGGGTACAATTTTGAGAACATCTGAATTCTCAGCAGGTATTTTGGCTTCAAGTGGTCATACCTCTGTGTTGGGTTCTGTAGTAATACTAGCACAGCTATGTAACCTTTTCCCATGGAAGGTTCCTGATGGCTAAACCTGCCTCCCCTGCCATGTATCTGCAGCTCCCTACAAGGCAGGGACAGCGTCTTGCTTTGCCCTTAGGCCCTGGGCTGTCTAATGTGTAATTCATAGAATCCTATTGGCTCCCAGGTCTGAAGGCTGCAAGTCCAAGGAGCTGCCACTGTCACTTGTGGTGGAAGGGCACAGCAGGGAGGGTGGGGGAGAGGGAGCTGAACTGGGCCTTTTTTGGGCTTACTTCTGATAATGACCCCACTCCCTCAATGGGGGCATTAGCCAATTCATGAGGGGGTGGCCCCATGACCAAGCATCTCTGGTTAGGCGCCCACCTGACCCTACTGCATCCAGACAAATCAGGACCTGTGTGGCGAGCTGGCTCTCACCCAGGTTTCCAGGACCCCCCTCCCTCCTTCCTGGTTTTCCTCACTTCACCTCTTTGATCCTGATATCCTTTTAGAGTGTCAGGGGGCTGATGTGGGAGGACCACACAGGAGGACATTCCCGCCCAACACTAGCCCTTACCAGAAGGCCCACTCAAAGAGCAGTGCCCATCCTTGGCTTCATGGAATCTGGGTGGTGAGCAGCCCCCTGGACCAAGCACCTCAGGTTCCCAGGGCAGGCCAGGCTGAGGCTCCCCAGAGGTCCAGTGTGCAGTCCCTGTGGCAACTGCAGGATCATGCTATCCATGTAACTAGGAAGCAGAACTTCATGCAAAACAGGGATGTTCTAAGAAAAGCCCAGACTGGCCAGATTAATAAAGTAGGTGAAATCTGTCCATGTTTAACCGGATGTAAAGGATTTCCCGTGGCCCAGCCAAGAAGAAAGGAGAGACACACCGGGGACTGTGGTGTCCCCGAACCTCGCTCTCCTTTGGTGTCTGGTGTCCTGCCCCGCATTCTCTCAGCCCAGCGGCTCACCTCCTTCACTCCACCCGGCCTCACGCTGCCCGAGCCTTGCAGGCCTGCTGTTCCAGTGCTAGTAGCCTTCATCCTCCACTGTGTTAGGGTCAGCAAATCCGGTGTCCTCGGCAACATTCGTGATTTTAGTTTCCAGAGCACTTATGCTGTGTTGTGTTTTAACATTGAAAGCATCTGTATCCATCATAAGGACCAACTCAGCCTTGGTAGGGAGTGGGAGGGCTCAGGTAGGATTGTAGTTGGTCATGGCAGACAGGACATTACAAAATAGGCAGAGACTTAGCAAGAGACAAGGGCATCTTCTCTTGACTAGAGAGATTCACTGAACGGGTGTGGTCTTCCTGGGATTAGAGACCCACCCTGCTTCTATTCTCTTCTTCCTGCATCCTCAATAGGTGGCCATCCCTATCTCATGGTTTAACGTGGCTGCCTAAGCTCCATCATGATGCCTGAATTCCAGGCAGGAAGATGGGAAGCAGGACCCAAACACCTCTCCTCCCTTTTGGGACAGTTTCCACTTTCATTTAATTGTCTGGCCCCACCTTGCAGCAGGGAGTCTTGGGTTCTGCTGGGAATTAGGGATCTATAACTGGGAAAGAGGGGCAGGGTGTGGACTTCGTGGGTAGCTGTCAGTGTAGCAGCCATGGAGATAAATGAGTGAGATTCCCGCAGTAGGTGCAGGAACCCTGGTTTGCATTAATCACAGAATACCTTTTAATGCCGAGAAGAGTTTCCACAGGGCTGTCATTTGGCCTTTAAGGCCACACGACGCAGCTTGCATTTTCTTCCCAGGATGCTCATTTGTAACCTGAGTTCTCTGCCAGCTGCAGGTATCGATTAGTACCTCAGACTTTGCAGTTTCTAAATTAAAAACCCAGTGTCAAGAGTACGTCACCTTAAATGTCCTTTGTGTCAGACGGAGCACAGTGCTGGACGGCACAGTGAAATCAAAGCTCTTGACTGTGGGTAGAATTCTGTTCCCTCTGAGTGCTCCTGAGGCATCCTGAAAGAGGAAGCCCACTGTTGTCTGAGTGGGTGGGTCTGGCCACATCAGAGTCTGTTCCAAAGGGATCCACGAGACAGAAGTCCACTAGCAGAAATCACTAATTTACATTAAAAAGGGATGCCGTGGAGTTCCATCATGCCCAGAGTTTAGGTTCTAAACAGTATGTAAAGCTAAAACCTTGAAAGTCACAATTGTCCCTTCACTGCCCCTGGGCCTGGCATGTCTGATTGGACTCACGTAGCCCTGCAAAAATTTTGTCACCCCACACTTGAGAGTTCTGGAGCCCCTGAGCTCTGGTGGAGAAAGATGTCCCAGGGCTTGGCCTTTCGAGCTGCTCTGTCCTGGGTTACAGAGTCCCTGCCTCCTGGAGGTGTGCTCCCTTCCATGTCCTCACAGACACTCCTAAGGTCATTAGATGGGCACATGTGGCAGGGCTGGGCCACACAGCAGCTGTGAGGCTACAGATACATCAGTGAAGAAACCAGCTGCCCACCTGGCAGGGCCACCTCCCAGGTCACAGCATGGCAAGACGATGCTCCACAATGGTGTTCAGTCAGAGGGCAGGGGACCTCTAAGAGCTGGGGTCAAGGGTCAGGAAAGCAGAGCACCATTTCTCAGAATGCAGACTCCGTCCAAGATACCATGCAGAAGGGACTCTGCAGGCTCCCAAGAGCTTCTAGCCACATGAACACAAAGGCAGGGGCTGCTGAAGGGAACGTCCTCATTTGTGCCCATGGCCACAATCTGCCTTAGATTATTTTACAGTCCACCTGTCCTTTCAGACCCATAAATAGTCCCTGAGAGTCCAGCAGGAGGGAAATGTCTTTCCACAAAATTATGCAGCTCTGCCCGATGGCACAGGCTTTCTCCTTAGCGGAGAAAAAGGAGCAGCCCCTTCCCAGGGAGGCCCTGAAGTCACCCTGAGCACGGCAGAGCGCTTCGCTAAGAAAGACAGAAGACTCCCCTGGGCATCAGTGTTCTCAATGAAGCATCTGCGTTAGGAGGGGTTGAGTGTTTCTCCAAGTCAGAAGGTTCACAGTTGGACATTTGCAAGAATCTAGAGAGGGAGGCCCCGGGTGCTAGACTAGCATTCTCCTCGGTATTTGGTGCAAATACCTCAATTTTAGAGTTGTCTGGAAACAACAGCTTACAAATCTAAAGCTCTGCAGATCTGGGGTGGCTCAGAGGGCTTCCTGCCTTCTGTTTCCCCAGCCCACCTCTCCTGGTGTCTAGTGAGTTTTAAGGCCGTGGTCAGTAGCATGTGAACAGCCTTCATGGATGGAGCAACTTACAGGGCCGTGTGTGTGTCTTGTTTGGCACTTTATTGAACAGGGCCGTTGCTCCAGTTCTGTCCAAAGTAAATGTGAACTGAACACCTACTGGGTGGCAGGTGCGGTTGCAGAGTTGGCAGTACTAAACATTACCCACGCCCTGGAAAACATTGGAGGCTCTGAAATGCCCCCATCCTTCTGCAAAGGCTGGCTCCAAGGACCCCCTCCCTGGGCAGCTTGGCTAAGCTCAGACTCCCCTGCCCACGACTGCCTGTGGCAAGGGCTGACCCACCCTCCTTCACCTCATCAGAGATGAGCTGAACTGCTGTCCCCAGGGCTCAATCAGAGCAAAACACACGTCAACCACACTGTCCAGGCTGCTCTGTGCCCCAAAGCTCTGCCTGCCTGAGCCACAGGCACCCTGTGGTGTCCACAGTTGGAGCCACGCTCCTCAGGAAATGCCCTGGGCCATGCAGCTGTCCTGGTCTCACGTGCATGCCCACTCTCAGGTAAAGCCTGCCTGGTTTGGCCTCGGGCAGACTGCAGGTCCCGTGGCCAGAGCACTCTAGATGGTCCATCATTGGACCCATCTCTCCTTGTAGAACCTGGATTTGGTTTTTGTTCGAGAGCTGGGATACCTTGATTGGTCAAGGACTCCATGGGTGCCCAAGTAGCTTTGGAGAAGTTCTGAGGTGCGGGTGGGTCAGCACTGGAGCAGGAGGCACAGGGGACTGGAGGGTGGCAGCTGGGTGGTGGCTGGTCTCTGTCTCTCTTCCCAGTCACACAGGAATTAGACAGACACTCCAGCAAGTCACAGGGCCATCGGTCTTAACATCTGCACATTTTTTTTTTGAGTAAGTTGCATGGCCCAGAGGTCACTGTTTGATGGAAGTAGCATAAGAGGGATTTTAAGTGTTAAATACAATAAGACCATTTGTTTTAGACCGTTTTTAGTACCCTGGAAATGACCACTTTTTGGATAACCTCATCAATGCAAAATCTGTCCACTTGGCGATGTCAAGCAACCTCCCACGGGTTAGGTGCTGGTCTTCTCTGCAGACAACACAAGAGACACATGCAGATAATTCACTGTGAAAATCCAATCTTCCTGAGCCTGTTGCTTTGGAGGGTGGAGGTGGGTGTTGCTGTGACCATGTTGGGATGACAAAGATTCCAATGCCTGGCCTTGGGTTTTGGAGGAGGCTTTTGAATGTCAGGAGAGAGAACAACAACCGACCCTGAAAACCAAAATCCTGCGCGTTGTAGAGCAGGGTGATGGAGAGCAGAAGGTCTAGTGGCAAGGTCTTGTGGCATCTGCGGTCCTGAGGGCTGGCATCTGTGCTCGCACACTGCAAAGGAAACCAAGGGGAGTCGGGTTAGCTGGGCCCTCAGTGCCGCCCAGGCATGGGGGGGC